TTTGTGTGGTGCTGCAGTTTCAACTCAGTACTTCCCACTCTACCTGCGGCTGAATCTCATAATCTCTGGACTAAAGTGGGGGCTCATAATCAAATTTGATTTGATTGAGGGGAGAGAAAATGCCAACAAGGGCCTTTCTTGTACCTGAGTCTTTGGCAACAAATGCATGCTTTGGCATACTGTGTTTAGTTTTAGCCAGCCAGTTATCTTCCAAGTAAGCCTGGTAATCCTCCTTGGCTGCCCCTTGCTGCTGGCTGAGCTGCATCGAAGTGGCCGGTGTCATGTGAGGTGGTTTTGTGGGCCTGAGCTATTTCAGGGCAGGTCCTTTTTTGGCCCGAGGATTTGAGGAACACAAGTTCCCCGCTCCTCCATCTGGAGGTCCGGCCAGCACCTCCTCCAGTCTTGGACTGTTTTTAGTTGTTATGGAGATCGGCCTCACCCTGAGGTTCCCAGACCAGACTTCTCTCTGCTCCATTCAATTCTAGTTCCCCAAGCACAGCTGTCAGACTTCCTGCCCTAGGAGCATTCATAGGAACGCCAGTGTCTTCCAAAACCTCAGAAAGTCAAAGCTGGGCACTGATGGCTCATGTTTGTAATGTTAGCTAGTCAGGAGGCTGAGATCTGAGGATCATGGTTCAAATCCAGCACGGGCAGAAAAGTCCTTGAGACTTTTTTTTTGGTCAGTCGTGGGGCTTGAACTCTGGGCTTGGACGCTGTCCCTGCACTCTTCAGCTCAAGGAGAGCGCTCTACCGCTTGAGCCACAGCGCCACTTCTGGTTTTCTAGTGGTTTATTGGAGATAAGAGTCTCACAGACTTTCCTGCCAGGGCTGGCTTTGAACCACGATCTTCAGATCTCAGCCTCCTGAGTAGCTAGGATGACAGGCGTGAGCCACTGGCACCCAGTGAGACTCTTATCTCCAATAAACCACTCAGAAAACCGAAAGTGATGGCCCAAGTGGTAGAGTGCCATCCTTGAGCTGAAGAGCTGAGGGACAGTGCCCAGGCCCAGAGTTCAACTCCCAAAACGGACAAGAAAGAAAGAAAAGTCGAGAGACAGGATTACCTCTGAAGGTAACCACAAGCAATACTAAGGGGAAAGCACTGGAGGGACACCCCTAAAAAAGGAGGGTCTCAGGAGGCTGAGGACCAGACAAGAACCTTGGCCAATGCCAGCTACTCAGTATCACAAGTGGGCTAGGGGTTGAACTCAGGAAAGCACTCTACCTCTGAACTACATGGATCCACAGCTCCAGCCCTGCAGTTCTGTGTGTGTGTGTGTGTGTGTGTGTGTGTGTGTGTGTGTGTGTGTGTGTGTGATGGAAGTGGGACTTGAACTCAGGGCCTCACATTCTCATTTAGCTTTTCTGTTCGAGGCAGGTGCTCTACCACTTGAGCCACACCTCCACATCCAAAGTCACCTAGTTCTTTGCATCTTCCAAAGAGATGTGGCTGAGCAGGAAGGGAATCAAGTTGTCTTTCAGATTCTGGATACTGACCTCCCAGGAGAATATGTGTGTCGGTTGTGGGGCCCAATGAGACACCAATGTTGCAACTAAATGTTATTTTTTTCCCCTGGGCCCCAAACGAGTCCCAGCCCAACAGAGCTGGCTTCAAACGCCAGCCACACCCCGCTCAGCCCCATCTTCCTGGCCGGGCTCTCAGGCCGAGCCACAGTGTTTGTCCAGCCTCACCCTCTCTGCCTCGGGGAGGAGGGGAGGCCAGTGTTCCCGGGGCTTGGAAGGGACTAGAGGAAGGCCAGAAGGGGGCTGTGGGCCTCTTTCCTCCTGAAGGGCCAGGACAGAGGCACTGGGGGCAGCGAGGACTCAGGACCCAGCACCCCGCAGCTGCCAAGACGGGCCTGATGCCCAAGTCCATTTCTCTGCTGGTTGTTTGGAATTCTGGAGCTTATTTTCCCACAGAAACAAAGCTCAAGTGGATATTGGCTCCCTGCCTGGTCCCAAGGAGGCCTATTCAGCTCATAGCACCAGAGCCTTCAACCTTCACCCCTCTGCCATTGTCTGGCAGTGGTGGGGGCTCCTGCGGGAGCATCTGAGACCACAGATCCTCAGGCAGCCTTGCCAAGACTCTGGGGGCTGTGGGAACGGGGGGCCTGGCTGAAAGCTGCTCTTACATGGGCCACAGGCTGGAAAACAGAGCTGTGTGAGAGTCCTGTATGTCTAAGCGCATTTGAAAGCACAGGACACATCTGAGCCGTGGAGCTCAGGGTCCACTGCGGACTTGGATGGCACCTGACTAGCTCTGTGCTGGGCTTTCTTCATTTATCAGCCCCAGCGGGACTAGATCCACATACCCCCACCTCAGATAGCGCTCTCTCTCTCATTTTTGCCGCTCCTGGTACTTGAACTAAGGGCCTGGGCTCTATCTCTGAGCCTCTTTGTGCTCAAGGCTAGCCACGGCACCATTTCCGGCATTTTCTGAATAGTTTATTGGAGATGAGTCTTATGAGCTTTCCTGCCTGAGCTGGCTTCAAACTGTGATCCTCAGATCTCAGCCTCCTGGGTAGCTAGGATTATAGTCCTGAGTCATTAGCGCCTGCCCCTCAAATAGTTTTTCTTTTCCAAACAATGAAACATAAAATGAATGAAACATAAGATCTTCTCTGATTTTTTTTTTCTTGGTTGGTGTGGGACTTGAACTCTAGGCCTGGGCGCTGTCCCTCAGCTCTTCAGCTCAAGGTGAGTGCTCTAGCTAATGCGCCACTTGATTTTCTGTTGGTTAATTGGAGATCAGAATCTCATGGCCTCTCTTGCCCAGGCTAGCTTTGACCCGTGATCCTCAGATCTCAGCCTCCTGAGCAGCTAGGATTACAGGCCTGAGCCACCGACAATGGACTGGGAATGGGGAGTTTTAAATTTGGGGCCTCAGCCTTCAGCAGCTTGCTGGCTGTGCAGACTTGGGGGAGGTACTAATCTCCCCCCTCCCAACAGTAAATACTGGGATTTGGGATTAAGATACTGGTTTTGTGAGGTTCCCTGCCAGTCTTTGGAAGCCAGAAGTCAGGCGTCAGTGGCACACGTGTGGATGGCTACAGACAGGGACAGGACCAGTCAGGTCAAATTCCAGCAAGGAAGCTCCACGGGGCGTGTGTGGGCCGTTGGCTGTCGAAATTGCATTCCAGGACATGCCAGGGCTTCCTGTGGGGTCCGGGAGGAGAGGGTTCCCTGGGAAGGGGAGAATGCCAAGCGGAGGGAGGACATGAGACAGAGCAGGTGAGCCCCGGGGAAGCAGGTAAGGAGGGCATCTGGACAAATCTGCCCTGCCCCCCTTGCTGGGTGATCGAGGACCTGTGGGACTTGCGGCTGCCATGGTAACCAAGTTGAGAGCACAAAGCACCAGGAGTAGGGGAGGCCCCACCCGGAAAAGCAACATCCTGGCTGCTGGGGCCAGGCAGGCTGCGGGGGGGGGGGGGGGGGGGGGGGGCGCGTTATTTTTAGCTGCTAGGCGGCTGGGGCAGGACTTGTATGGCCGCGCTGTCTGGGCTGCATAACTCCCCCATTGTGCTGGCTGACCTTGCCAGCCTGTTAGGAGGCCTCTCTGTCTGCCCCTTGCCCTTCCACTCCCCTGGGGGGGAAGGGAGGGGGCACCTGGGAGAACCAGGGAGAAGTTCAGAGAACACTGTGGGGGGGGGAGTTCCGGTGGTCCCAAGCTGGGCAGAGATGGCATAAGGGTGCTTCTGGGGTGGCAGAGGGTGCTGAGCCTTCCTGGAAGGCATCCAGGGGCCCTGCTGTGGCACAGAGCCTGGGGGGGGGCTGCTGAGGGTGGGGAGACGCCCGAGGACATCAGCTCCTTTAAGGCAGAGGTGCCCGCTCCAGCCGCAACACGGGTGGTCCCGCCTCATCCCTGAGGTTGAGCTGTGTGAAGGAAGCTGTGTGCTGGGCCGTCGGGGTGGGCAGCTACGATTAATTCTGGGCATGACCAGCACAAGGCAGATCCAGAACTGGCTGTGGCTCCCGAGGATGGCGTGGGAGCTGGACAGTCAGGCTGACGATGGCGTGGACCTGTGTGAGGAGGGGCCCCAAAGAGCCCCCATTCCTGGGCCAGGGACTCTGTTCCTTCCTTTCCCAGTTGCTATTTAGATTAGGTGTGTGTGTGTGTGTGTGTGTGTGTGTGTGTGTGTGTGTGTGTGTGTGTGTGTGTGTGTGTGTGTGTGCGCGTGCGTGCGTGCGCATGCGCGCATTTGCACATGACACACATGCGCATGACAGTGTGGGGGCTTGAACTCATGGCCCCTTGCTCTCGCTTGGCTTTTTTGCTCAAGGCTGAGCTCTACCACTGGAGCCACAGCTCCACTTCTGGCATTTTACTGATTCACTGGAAATTAAGTCTCAGAGGCCAGGTGCCGGTGGCTCATGCCTGTAATCCCAGCTACTCAGGAGGCTGAGATTTGAGGACTGCAGTTCAAAGCTAGTCCGGGCAGGAAAGTCCGTGGAGACTTTTATCTCCAATTAACTACCAGAAAACCGGAAGTGGTGCTGTGGCTCAAGTGGTAGAATGCTCACTGTGAGCAAAAGAGCTCAGGCACAGCGCCCAGCCCCATGACCGACCAAAAAAAAAAAAAAGTCTCACTTTTCTGCCTGAGCTGGCTTTGAACTTTGATCCTCAGATCTCAGCTTCCTGAGCAGCTAGGATTATAGACACGAGTCAACAGCATCCGGCTACTTTAGCTCTTGAACATCAAGAAATCATGGACAGGCCTGGGAATATGGCCTAGTGGTAGAGTGCTTACCTAGCATGCATGAAGCCATGGGTTCCATTCCTCAGTACCACATACACAGAAAAAGCCAGAAGTGGCACTGTGGCTCAAGTGGTAGAGCGCTAGCCTTGAGCTGAAGAGCTCAGGGACAGCGTCCAGGCCCAGAGCTCAAGTCCTATGACCAACAACAACAACAAAAAAGAAATTCTGGACAATCTTGGTAAACAGAGGAATGGAAAATGGAGCCATTTGTTCAGTCCATTCATGTTTATTGAGCACCTACTATAGATACCAGGCAGTGTTCTGAAAACCTGAAGCGCTCTCTCTCCCCCAAACAAAAAGCTGAAGCGCTCTCTCCCCCAAACAAGTCCTGCAGGGGGGCAGGGGCTGGGGGACTGGGGACCTCCTCTGAAAAATGGAAGGCCAAGTTACAAAAGGCGGAGGCCTGCAGACGTGAGAAGGCTGGGGATGTGGACTCCGGGGCTGGTGCCTTCGGGGGACAAGGCGAGACCCCAGCTCCCGAGGGCAGAAGCAGCAGCCCTCTATCACCTCCTCTTCAGCACGGATATGCAGGACTTTTTGAGGGGCCCAATCTGCAGATGGGCATCTACACTCTCCAAGAAGAAGGCAGGCTTCAGCCTGTGGTTGAAGAGCTCCCCGAAGTGGCTGTCCAGACGGCTCTGGAAGGGGTCAGTGGGAGATGCCAGGGCGCCGCTCCGACGGGGCCGGGAGGCCTTCAGCCTCCGGAGGAGGCTCAGCTTGCCGTCACGCACGGCGTAGAAGGCCAGGGCGCGATCGGCGTACTCCAGGCAGACCCCGACGGTGGGGGAGAAGGCGTGAGGCAGGGTGGCCTCCAGCCCGTGGAACCACACAGAAAAGCCACGTCCATTCCACTGGAGGCAGCATGAGTGGCCGTTGCGGCCCAGACGGCCCCGGTCGTAGGGCTCTTGAGGGGAGAAGCCTTCGGCCATGACCCCCACACTGACCCATCCCTCTATAATCTCCACCTCCCAGTAGTAGGTGCCTCGGTCCAAGGCGCCCTCGCCCAGCACTTGCTCGCAGTGGGTGAAGCGGGTCGGGGACTCGGGGTAGTTGATGGGACACAGAACCCTCTTGACACCTTTGGTTCCAAACAGCTGCAAGAACTTGTCTGCCGTGTCACTGTCCAGATCCACGATGTAGGCAACTGGCCCAGGGAGGAGAGAGATTTAGGGGTCAAGGCCAGGCTCAGGGCGGACAGTCCATCTGCAGGTACCCACCTCCGCCCAACATGCTAGGCTCCTTATGCTACTTGAGACCACCCATGGAGCTATCTCCTTCACTCCGAGAACCGGGGAGGGGAGTCCAAATCCTCCGTGCCAGGGCCCTGTTGGAGCTGGGTCCCAAGGCTGGCCCGCAGTTAGAGCAAGAGCAGGGTGTACTCACACTTGAGGAAATAGTCCCTGGGAGCCTCGCTGTCCAGGAGATTTGTGCTGTCCGCGTCCTGAGACTCCACATCAGCTGCACAAGAGGAGGCGGTCGGGAAGATGACTCCCCAGATTGCCCTTGACTGAGCTGCCAGGCCAGGCAGCCCCCCCTCCCCCACCCCCCGCTGATCCCCTGTGATTTCTTCTTCCCAGACCCCTGAACTTTCTAGAGACAGGCACACATTCAGGCACCCCTGTGAGCACATGTATGTGTCCCATACTGGGACTTGAACTCAAGGCCTGGGGGCTGTCCATAGAATTTTTTACTCAAGGTTAGCATTCTACTACTTGAGCCCCAGCTCCACTTCTGGATTTTTGGTGCTTCATTGGAGATAAGAGTCTCCTGGACTTTTCTGCCCAGGCTGGCCTTGAACTGTGATCTTCAGATCTCAGCCTCCTGAGCACTTAGAATTATGGGCATGAGGATTGGGAATGTGGATTAGTGGTAGAGTGCTTACCTAGCATGTATGAAGCCCTGAGTTCGATTCCTCAGTAACATATACACAGAGAAAGCCAGAAGTGGTGCTGGGGCTCAAGTGGTAGAGTGCTAGCCTGAGCAAAAGAAGCTCAGGGACAGTGCCCAGGTCCTGAGTTCAAGCCCCAAGACAGGAGGAGGAAGAGGAGGAGGAGGAGGAGGAGAAGGAACAAGGGGAAGGGGAAGAAGAAAGGAAGAAGCCAGGTGCCCATGGTTCACACCTGTCATCCTAGCTACACAGGAGGCTGAGATCTGAGGATCACAGTTCAAAGCCAGCCTGGGCAGGAATGTTCATGAGACTCTTATCTCCAATGAACCACCGGAAAACTGAAAGTGGTTCCGTGGCTCAAGTGGTAGAGCGCTTGCCTTGAGCTGAAGAGCTCAGGGACTGTGCTCAGGCCGCCCAGAGTTCAAGCCCCACAACTGACAAAAAAAGAAAAAAAGAAAGAAAAAAAAGAATTATGGGCATGAGTCACTGCTGCTCGGCTCTGGTGTCGACTGGTGCCCTTTGCCCTCTGGCTGTGGAGGCTCAGCCCCTCTGAAGGTGGGGGGTGGGTGGAAAGGGTCCCCTCTGCCCTCTATAACCGGAGCCCTGTAGTCAGCCCAGGCTGGTGGCTCCGGCCTCTGGCAGGAGCTGGGTCCCACCCTGTGCTAGGCACAGTTTCCCTCCTCCACTCCTGAATGGGCACAGGCCTGGGGGCCGTGTGGGAAGCCTGGGGGAGATGAGTCATCGGGTGTGTGGGGAGCACCCACCTTCGGGGCCCAGCTTCTGCAGCCCGTCCGCGTCACCGCCCAGCCCCCGCAGCTGCTCCCACTGGCTGCCACAGGCCGAGACCAGTGCATCTCTCACGGCGCGCACGGCTTGGGAGGACTTGGTGAAACTGAGCTCCCTGGGGGGGCCGGGCCCGGGGCCGCACCCCTCCTCCAGAGCCAGCCGGAGGGCCAGGAACTCCTGTGCCAGAGAAGTTCCCCCGTTAAGGCTGCTGGGACCACTGCCCTTTGCCCTCCGCCCTTTGCTCCCCCCCCCCCCCCCCCGGGGCTCCCCCTGTGGCTGGGGAGTTGTGCCCACCTGCAGGAAGCTGACAGAATCGGCTTCGGGGACCTGACTAAGGTTGTGGCGAGCCCGGCTTAATCGGTTGCGCTGTTCCTCCTGCCGCCACAGGTCGCCCTGAGATCGGCTCAGCAGGGCCGACTCCCCCTCCTTGATGAAGCCCAGCAGCTCTGTCTGGAAGCCTTGCAGGGCCGCCGCAGCCTCGGCAAACAGCTGGCTCACCCTCTCCCGCTCGGCCACAGCTGCACTCTGCACCAGATGGCATGGGGGCGGGGGGGAGAACAGGCCTGGCCATCAGCCTCATCCTCCTTCCCTGACCCCTCGGGTCCCCCCCCCCCCAGCCTCGTAGGGGCCACACTAGATCTGAGCCCCTTCAGGGGAGCGGCCTGGGGCTTGCAGGAGAGGGCGGGGCCCCAGCAAGGCTCCTGGAGTAGATGTGCCATGCTGAAAGCATGTGTTTCCAGAAGCCTGCTGTGCTCGGGCTTGGGGGGGGGGGGGGGGAATCAGAGGTAGGACTGGGACTGGGGGGTTGTGTCTGACCTTGATGAGGGCCACCGTGCGCCGGGACTGTGCGATGCTGGCACCCAGTTCATCCATGCGGTCGTCCACAGCACTCAGGACTTTGGGCTGCTCGGTCTGTGGATGACCTTCCGTGAGAATGGGGTCTCCTACAGGGCCCCCAACCCTGCTCCAGGTGACCAGGGAGTGGTATCTGTGCATGGCTGAGACTGGGAGCAGCCATGATGCCCTGGAATATGCGAGGGGCGTCTGCAGCTCTGGCTGATGCCATTTGTAAGTGCCTGGATGGACGGGCAGTTTGACCAGCCTGGCAGAGACACCCAGGGCCGACACCATCTCTGTGGCGCAACATCATTGGGAGGAGCATGACTACACAGAGACTCTACAAGCTGTCTTGGGGACCACTGTCTCCAAAGAGCTTGCATCCCCAATCCAGTCCTTAAAAAAAAAATGGGGATTCCAGGCAAATCCCCTGGGTTTTATGAGTCACTGCTCCAAGCTGGAGAGACGGAAAATCCCAAGGCCAGAGGTGCCAAGGCCGGGAGAGAGGCCAAAGGAAACTGGGGGTGGGAAGGAACGGGGCTTTGGGCACAAGCTCCTGCCATGGCCCCAAATGGCAGGACAGAGGGGATCTGTGTCCAGCCTACTGTCCGCAGTCGCGGTCACACTCCTGTCGCCTGCCACACCCATCCAAAGCAGCTGACTCACTCAGTCCAAGAGGAATCTGAGCCAGGACTTAAATGGAGCCAAGAGCATCAGCTATTCAGCCCTCAACCACCCCTAAGAAGGTGGAAGGTCAGGGACCCTGTCCCAGCTCCTTTCCTCCCTCACCACCCCACCCTCGACCCCTCCGGTTGTGGGGCTTGAACTCAGGGCCTGGGCGCTGTCCCTGAGCTCTTCAGCTCAAGGTGAGCGCTCTACCACTTGAGCCACAGCGCCACTTCCGGTTTTCTGAGCGGTTCATTGGAGATCAGAGTCTCACAGACTTTCCTGCTCAGGCTGGCTTTGAACCGTGATCTTCAGATTTCAGCCTCTGAGTAGCTAGGATGACAGGCGTGAGCCACCGGTGGCCCGCACCCAGTTCCTCCTTGCTTTACCCTGACCTCGCTTTAAGTCCCCGGGCCCATCTTCCAGGGGTCCCTCCTTCCGGCCTCTGGGTACAGAGAGGCAGTGGGGAGCCCCGCGTCCCCCCCTCCCCAGCCCGGCCCGTGCCCCCACCTCCTGGAGCGGGCAGTGGGGAGCCCCGCGGCCCGGCCCCGCGCCCCCAGCCCGCGTCCCGCCGCCCGGGCCCGCGTCCCCACCTCCTGGAGCGCGCGCTCCTGCTCCAGCGGCACGAGCTCGTGGCCGCGGTGCTCCTGGGCGGCGCAGGCCTGGCACAGGCACAGGCGCTCGGCGCGGCAGTAGCGCTCGAGCGGCCGCAGGTGGCGCGGGCACAGGCTCTCCTCCAGCCGGCGGAGCGGCGGCACCAGGCGGTGCCCGCGCAGCGCGGGGCTGCGCTCGTGCGGGCCCAGGTGCGCCGCGCAGAAGGAGGCGAGGCAGGACAGGCAGGAGCGCGCGGCGGGACGGGCCGCGCCCTCGGGGCACGCGTCGCAGCGCACCGGCTCCTCGCCCGTCGCCCACGGCTCGGGCGCGCACGGAGCCGACGGCTCCGGAGCGAGGGGCGGCGCGCTGGGAGCCGAGGGCTCCGGCGTGGGGCTCCTGGCCGGGCCGGAGGTCGGGGAAGACATGGGTCCGGGCCCCGCGCCCTGGCGGAGCTGCAGCAGCTCGGACAGCGTGTGGTTCTTGCGGAGCTGCAGGCCGTCGGGGAAGGGCTCCTGGCACAGCGGGCAGCGCGCCGCGCCCCCGGGGCCGCCGGTGCCGCCCGCGCTGCGGTGCGGCCAGAGCGCGCCCAGGCAGGCCAGGCAGAAGTTGTGGCCGCAGGGCAGCGTCACCGGCTCCCGGAGCGGCTCCAGGCAGATGGGGCAGCTGAAGGGCCCGCTGCCGTCCATGGCTCCGCGGCGGCCCGGGCACCGCCTGCTCTGCTCCCGCCAGGGAGGGACCCGGAGCGAGCGCGCCCCGGCGCCGCCCCCCGGGCCCCAGGCCAAGGGCCGGCCCCCGCCCGCCCCACCGGGCTCGGCCCGCCCACCCCGCGCGATCGAGGGCTGGAGGAGCCCCGAGGGCCGCACGGGAGGGAGGCTGAGAAGCCCCCAGCCCAGCCTCAGGCCCGGAGGGAGGGGTGTACCCCTGACCCCCAGCCCAGCCCCAGTCTCCAGTGGTATCGCCCTGGCACATCTGAGCCATGTTCCAGAGCTGCTGACGGTTGGAAAAACAACAAACCTGCTGCTGCTGCTATTGGTATGTTTTTGCCCCTTGGAGACTCTGTTTACCACCCTGGGGAACGTGGGCTTTTCTAGACCCGAAATGGAAAGTTGACATCATGCTCCAAGTCCCTTTCCAATGGCTTTCTTGGAGGAATTCTTCCCTGGTTGGTGGACACTGGCAGACACCTGTGGAGAGCCGGGCAGGGGCCAGGGGACCCCCAAGAGGAGGCTTCGGTTAGTACTGGCTTAAGAAGGTGCATCTTGTTTGCGCTGAGACATAGTCTTGCTATGTAACCCAGGCTGCCCTGGAACTCACAATCCTCTAGCTTCAGCCTTCTGAGTGCTGGAGTATCAGCTATGTACTACCACACCCTGCACTTTAGTGTAAGTTACACCTCCATAATGTTATTTATTTATTTATTTTTGTCGGCTGTGGGGCTTGAACTCTGGGCCTGGGCGCTGTCCCTCAGCTCTTCAGCTCAAGGCGAGTGCTCTACCACTTGAGCTACAGCGCCACTTCCGGTTTTCTGGTGGTTTATTGGAGATCGGAGTCTCACGGTCTCTCCTGCCCAGGCTGGCTTTGAACCGCGATCCTCAGATCTCAGCCTCCCGAGTAGCTAGGATTACAGGCGTGAGCCACCAGCGCCCGGCTTCATAATGTTATTTTTTAAAAGAAAAGAATGGCAAAAATCAAGTACATAATACAAATATGGGTTTTTGTTTTTTTTTTGGGTCTGGTCATGGGGCCTGAACTCTGGGCCTGGGCGCTGTCCCTCAGCTCTTCAGCTCAAGGCTAGTGCTCTACCACTTGAGCCACAGCTCTTCCGGCTTTTTTCTTTTTGCTTATGTGGTGCTGAGGAATCGAACCCAGGGCCTCATGCATGCAAGGCAAGCGCTCTACCACTGAGCCACCTTCCCAGTCCCACAAATATGGGTTTATAAAGCAAAGTAAAGGAATTGAAGGTGTAGCTCAAGTGGTAGAGCACTGGCTCTGAGCAAAAATGGAGCAACACACACACACACACACACACACACACAGACACACACACACACACACACACACATATCCAAAGCTGGGCATTGAGGGCTCACACTTGTAATCCTAGCTACTCAGGAAGTTTAAATATGAGGATCATGGTTCAAGGCCAGCACAGGGCAAGACAAACCCATAAGATTCTTATTTCCAGTTAACCAGCAAAAAGCTGGAAGTAAAGTATGATTCAAGTGTAGCCCTTCAGTCTTTTTTTTTTTTTTTTTTCCAGTCCTAGGGCTTGAACTCAGAGTCTGGGCACTGTTCCTGAGCTTCTTTTACTCAAGGTTAGCAGTCTACCACTTGAGCCACAGCGCCACTTCTGGCTTTTTCTGCTTATGTGGTGCTGAGGAATCAAACCCAGGGCTTCATGCATCCAAGGCAAGCACTTTACCACTGAGCCACATGCCCAGCCCTCCAATGGGTTTTTTTTTTTTTTTTTTTTGTCGGTTGTGAGTCTTGAACTCGGGGCCTGGGCTCTGTCCCTCAAATCTTTAGCTCAAGGCAAGCGCTCTACCACTTGAGCCACAGCACCACTTCTGGTTTTCTGGTGATTCATTAAAGATAAAGACTCTCAGGGACTTGCTTGCCTGGGCTGGCTTTGAACGATGATCCTCTGATCTCTGCCTCCTGAGTAGCTAGGGTTACAGGCTTGAGCCACCGGTGCTTGGCAACAGGTGTTTATTTGTCTGGGTTGGAAGTCTGAGGTCAGCTGGGGTGAGGAAAGCCCTCTCCAGGGCTAGGCACTACTGACATTCCATTGTGTCTTGGGCAGAAAGAGGACTCAGAGCTGGGGGGTGAGGGGCTGGGGGTTATCAAGGGGGTGCTTTATAAGGCCACCAACTTCACTCAAGAGGGCTCTACTCTCTTTCTTTTATCACCTCCCAGGGGCCCCACCCCTCATTCCATCCCTGTGGAAGATAGGATTTCAACATGTAAATTGTAGAGGTCCTCACACACCAGGTCATTTAGAACAAGAGTTAGAGGAAAGAGGTGCACAGGGCCCGGTGGCTCACGCCTGTAATCCCAGCTACTCAGGAGGCTGAGATCTGAGTATTTGAGTTCAAAGCCAGCCCGGGTAGGAAAGTCCATGAGACTCTCGTCTTCAATGAAATACCATAAAGCCAGAAGTGGAGCTGTGGCTCAAGTGGTAGGACAGCAGCCTTTAGTGAAAAAGCTAAAGGACAATGAACACTCAGGCCCTGAATTCTACCCCAGTACCAGCTTGATGGAGGATGGGGGCTGGAGAAGGGGCATCTGAGCTGGGCTGTCATGGGCTGCTGGAATCCAGGCGGGCAGAGCGAGTGTGGGAGAAGATCTGCACAGGCAGAAGCAGCCAAGGGCGATACAGCCTGGGCGTGCCGGGCTTGGCAGGAAGGCAGATAATGACTTCCATACGTTGGTTTCCACAAGGAGCACTTGATCATGACAGTCCCTCATATGCCAAGATCCAGGAGTAGGTGGAGGGCCAGTACCAGCACCACCCTGCCCTGCGGCTTGGCAGCCACTCGGAGACCACAAACATGCGTGGTACCAGAGGAACAGGGTACCCCCACATTAAGGGGTACCCTGTGCCCCACTGGCCCTCTGTCTCCTGTGCAGATTTGCTGTCCCCCTGTTTTTTTTTTTTGGGGGTCCAGTCGTGGGGCCTGAACTCTGAGCCTGGGCGCTGTCCTCAGCTCTTCAGCTCAAGGCTAGCACTCTACCCTTGAGCCACAGTACCACTTCCAGCTTTTTTTCTTTTTGCTTATGTGGTGCTGGGGAATTGAACCCAGGGCCTCATACATGCAAGGCAAGCGCTCTACCACTGAGCCACCTTCCCAGCCCTGCTGTCCCTTTTGCTTGGGAAAATCTGATCTTCAGGAGGAAAGCATGGAAATCTCTCTTTTTTTTTTTTTTTGTCAGTGGTGAGGCTTGAACTCAGGGCCTGGGTGCTGTCTCTCAGCAATTTTTGCTCAAGGCTAACACTCTATCACAGCTCTACTTCCAGTTTTCTGGTGGAAGATAGGTGTCACGGACTTTCCTGTCCAGTCTGGCTTTGAACCCTGATCCTCAGACCTCAGCTTCCTGAGTAGCTGGGATTACAGGCATGAGTCATGGGCGGGTGGTGGTAATCCTGATACCTCATTCATATTAGCATGTTTCAAAGTTGTTGCAAATGTCTGGAATCTTTTGGAAATGGACTCTCCATGTCTGCAAGCCTAACAGTAAGTTTGAGCTCCACAGGAACCCACTCACACCTCCTCCTGCACCCTTGGTCCTGAGGACGCGGGAGGAAATCTGACATAGCAAGGTCAATGGAGGAAGGGGAAGGCACCACCAAATCATCCGAAAGCTCCAGACCCTGCTGCTGCTAAAAAAAAAAAAGTCATCCAGCTCCTCAGTCATGGGGCTTGAACTCTGGGCCTGAACACTGTCCCTCAGCTCTTTAGCCCAAGGCCAGTGCTCTACCCCTTGAACCACAGTGCCACAGTGCCACTTCCAGTTTTCTGGTAGTTTATTGGAGATAAGAGTCTCACAGACTTTCCTGCCCGGGCTGGCTTTGAACCACAATCCTCAGATCTCAGTCTCCTAAGTAGCTAGGATTACAGGCGTGAGCCACAGGCACCCGGCTTCCAGCCCTAGTTTTTGCCCGTTAACTCATCTTTAAGCAAAGCGTATTGATAAAAGGTCCTGAGTTTGAACCAGTATGCCTGGAACAAGAGGATGCACATGGCCACAAATGAAGTGACACGGTACCGACAAGGACATCGCTGCCTGTCATTGGTGCAAATTCAGGGCCAGCAGTTTTCACCAAAGAGGCAGCAACACCACAAATGCAGTTCCAAATGCAGTCAACACCTGCAATCCTAGCTTCTCAGGAGGCTGAGATCTGAGGATCAAGGCTCAAAGCCAGCCTGGGCTTCCCTCTAATGAACCACCAGAAAAGCTGGAAGTGGAGCTGTGGCTCAAATGGTAATATACTAGCCTTGAGTAAATTAGCTTAGAGACAGTCCCAGGCCCTGAGAAAGGCCCCAAGTTCTATTCCCAGTACCAGATACCTGCTCCTGACCCAGCAATGCTATAGAATCTTCATGGAAGCATGTTCTGGAGGAGCAAAAAAACAAACCAAAACAAAGGTGCTCATACCTCCACTTGCCTACATCCACCTCCACATCTGATCCTCATAACTCATAGGGAGTAAGGCTACCTAGCTGGGCAGTGAGCAGTGGGGCCTAAGTAATCACATGACTCAGCATTGCTTCTTGGTGACCTTTCTTTTCTTTTCTTTCTTTCTTTTTTTTTTTTGCCAGTTGTGGGACCTGAACTCCAAGCCTGTCTGGCGCTGTCCCTCGGCTCTTCAGCTCAAGGCTAGCATGCTACCACTTGAGCCACAGCACCACTTCTGGTTTTCTGGTGGTTCATTGGAGATAAGAGTCTCACGGGAACTTTTCTGCCCAGGCTGGCTTTGAACCTTGATCCTCAGATCTCAGCCTCCTGAGTAACAGGGTGATGGCACAGGGTGAGGGTTCTCCCTTCCAGGAGCCAGAAGACAGGGTAGACGGGATGGTTGAAGAAGGCGTTGAAGGTGTGCAGTTGCTGGGCCTGTGGCTCCAGGCTGTAGAAGGTGAGGTAGCCAATGTCCAGGTCCAATTCCATGCCCAGCAGCCGTCCAGACGCCCGAGGGAGGCGCTGGGCCTTCCCGTTGTGCCAGGCCTGGACACTGTCCTCCTGGATGCAGAGGCCCCAGGAGTCGGGCCCACGGCCAATGTTGTCTGTATTCATTCCCTGCTTGCATCGGGTCAGTTCGGGGTAGGTGACGCCCAGCGTCACTGAGTGGTCCGAGGTGAGTACCTCCCAATAGTGCCGCCCAGCCCGGAAGCCCTGGGCACACTGCACCTGCCACAGCTCAAAGCTGCCTGGCCTGGCTGGGCCCTGCGGCTCGCGGTGATGTGTCACCTGCTGGTCCTCATGAGACAGGTAGAAATGGCGGTTGGCACTGGCTGGGTCAAAGGTCAGATTGCGATAATCTATTGAGGAGAAAGAGAGAGATGGAAGTCAGCAAAGCTTTCATTCTGTCTACGCAATTGCAGATCCAGCCCTGAATTATTCACTGTTAGCTCTGAGCTGAAATCTGCTATGGGTCCCAGATCAATTTTGTTGTTGTTTGTGGGGCTTGAACTCTGGGCCTGGGCGTTGTCCCTCAACTCCAGCTCAAGGCTAGCACTCTACCATTTGAGCCAGTGCCACTTCCAGTTTTCTGGTGGTTTATTGGAGATGACTCTCATGGACTTTCCTGCTCAGGCTGGCTTTGAACTCCAATCCTTAGAGCTCAGCCTCCTGAGTAGCTAGGATGACAGGCATGAGCCACTGGCACCTGGCTGAATTTTTTTTTTTTTTTTTTTATGTCTATATTGGGACTTGAACTCAGGGCTTGGACACTGTCTCTTAGATTTTCCTCTCAAGGCTGCCACTTGACCACTTGAGCCACAGCTTCACGTCTTGCTTTTTGCTAGTTAATTGGAAATAAGAGTCTCATGGAATTTCCTGCCTGGGGCTGGTTTCATATTGTGATCCTTAGATTCCTAACTCCCTGTGTAGGTAGAATTACAGGCATGAGCTACTGGTACTGGATGAGAAAACAGTCTATCTCTTCACCCAGAGGAGAAAACTGAGGCTCAGAGAGGTAATTAACACGGTATTAAGTAGCAGAATCTAGATGTGTGGATCCACACCATCTTCATGTGTCCTCCTTCACTCTGTGCTGGCTGCGTCTGCTTCAGGATGGCAGGACAGGCCTCTATCCTGCATATATATCCTAGGATATATCCTATATCCTAGGCTTGTAAGGGCCGGTGGAGGGGGACACGCCCAGGGAGGGCCATGGAACAGACATCCTGGGCAGTGGTGGCAGGTCCTCCCCCGATGCTTACATGTGTATAGACAGACACAGACACACCCACACACGAACACTCAGGCCCCTTACACTGCCAGAGTTGCTTCCTCAGTGGACACAGCATGCTTGAGACCGGTGCCTGGGGACCCACAGTGTCTAGGGACCAAGTAGTGATGGAGAGGTCAGCGGGAGTGAGGCTGGATGCTCTCCTCCCCATCCTGGGCGGGGCAGCTAGACCACGAAGGCTAGGGAGAGGTCTGGCATCTGCCTCACCTGCGGGCAGTGAGTGGGCAGCCTTGGCTGGCATCCTGGGCGGATGCTGTTCTTCCAGGAGGAGGCCACACAGCGGGCTCAGAGACTCCTTTAGGTCACTCAGCTGCTCATCCTCATCCCACTGCACAGGGGTTCGCGGCCCCAGGGGTGCTGGGGGCTCCAAGAGCTGCTGTGATTCCTGAGCCACAGGGACAGTAGCAGTGAGCCCAGACCTGGGGCAGGGAAGCAGGTCCCGGCCCCCTGGCCCGGGGCTCGGTACCTGGAGGAAAGTCTGATGGTCTCCTTGCGTCAGCAGATCGTGAACCCTGCAGCCATACTGAGTCAGGGCTTCCAGGTGACCCCGTAGTTGCCGCTCCTCATCCTGGATCTGTGCCAGGGCCTGTGTCTTGGCCGTCTCAATGTTCTCCAGTGCCAAAGCCTGCCGCTTCTCCAGGGCCTGCAGCAGGCAGCTGAATTTGCTGGAAACCATGGAGGCCAGCGTGCAGGCTGAGCTCTGCATAGGCACAGAAAAGCCGGAGGGTGCAAAGTCTGGGCAGCTTGCTAAGTTGGCCAGGGCTAGGGTGGCTCAGCAGGCTGAAGTGTGGGACACAGGGAGCAAAGGTCCCCGGGCCCCACTGTCTGCTGGGCCCCTCCTTCCCCGCTGCCAGGAGACACTTCCAAGGGAGCTCATACCTGCTGCCTGTGTCCCAGGACCCAGCAGGCAGGTGCAGTGGGGAGCAGGTGGGCTGACCCCAACCGGCCTCCTACCTGGATGTGGGTGGTTTGCTGTTGTAGATGCTGAAGCTGGGTCTCAGCCTGGGTGCTCCGCTGCTGGGTAACCTCCAGTCTGGCCCTCAGTTGGCCCTGTGGTGCCCATCCAGAGAATGTGTAGTAAGAGTGCGCTGCGGTTGATGGTGAGACCCACCACCACCACCACCTTCCCTCCCTCTGCCACCCAAGGCCATGCTAACCAGCAAGCCTGCATGTAATCACCAGCCTTGGATGGTGGGATTCCCAGGGAAGCCTGGACTAAATTCCTTCCCCACAGCACAAGGTAATGTATAGACAGTGCAGAAACCTCAGGCTGAAGACCAAATTTCCATATCTACTTCTCAGAGGCTGAGCAACCAGGAGTGAAGTTCCTACTCTCTCTGGGCTTTAACCCTCTCTCCTCCCTTCCCAACAGTTGAGAGCAATAATGTTGGCTTGGGAGGCCCAGCAGGAAAGAGGCGGTGACCCCAAGTGCAACTGCCTGGCCAGTGGGTAGTCCAATGCAGAATGGTCCACGGGGGAGGAAGAGGCCTGCCTTGGTTATGTCCTGATTCCCGGCCTTGAGCAACCATCCTCCAGATCTCAGCCTCCCATGGAGCTAGGATTACAGGTGGGAGCCATCCAGACACTCCCATTTTCTCCCACCACCCAGTGCCTGGCCCAGGCTGCCTCTGCGGCTGAAACTCCGTCCCAGGTCATTCTTCTCCTCCTGGCTATACACCCTCAGTCCCCCCGGGTCACTGCAGGGCGCTTGTCCCGTCCCCTGCTGACCCCCTTACTGCATAGAGTGACCATTTATTCAGATCTCGACTGGAATGCTGACTGAGAAGTAGATTCCACACTTTTGTGGCAGACCCAGGGTGATTTATTCACTAAGACATGACCGCCTGCCCCCCCACCCCCTTACACACACTGGGGGCCAGGGCGCGCACGCACCCCTACACCGGGGATGCCCTGCACCGCTGGTACCCGGCACACGTTTGCATAACGAAAGAACCTTCACAGAGCACCTGTCGCAGCAGACCTCGCCAGGGCGACCAGCTCGGCCCTCAGAGGTGAGAGGACCCGGGTGTGCGCAGGCTGGGCGGGCGGCCTGAGCCGGGTGCTCCTCCCAGGCCCCGCCCCCGCCCCGCCCGGGGTGCCCAGGCCCCGCCCCTCCGGCCCCGCCCCGCCCCGCCCTCAGAGCTTAGCGCCCTGCCTTCCCGGGGTGCCCAGGCCCCGCCCCGCCCTCGGAGCGCAGCGCCCTGCCTTCCCGGGGTGCCCAGGCCCCGCCCCGCCCCCGGAGGGCAGCGCCCTGCCTTCCTGGGGTGCCCAGGCCCCGCCCCCGCCCCGCTCCCGGAGCGCAGCGCCCTGCCTTCCTGGGGTGCCCAGGCCCCGCCCCGCCCCGCCCCGCCCTCGGAGCGCAGCGCCCTGCCTTCCCGGGGTGCCCAGGCCCCGCCCCGCCCAGGCCCCGCCCCGCCCCGCCCTCGGAGCGCAGCGCCCTGCCTTCCTGGGGTGCCCAGGCCCCGCCCCCGCCCCGCCCTCGGAGCGCAGCGCCCTGCCTTCCTGGGGTGCCCAGGTCCCGCCCCACCCCGCCCCCGGAGCGCAGCGCCCTGCCGGGGGGCGCCCGGCCTTCCCGGGGTGCCCAGGCGCCGCCTGCGGCCGTCACCTCGCGCTCGCGGCGCTCCTCGTCCAGCAGCACCCGCTCGTGGAGGCGACACTCGTGCACAGTGCAGGCGCAGCACGCGCAGCGGCCCTCCGTGCGGCAGAAGAGCTCGAGCGGCCGGCCGTGGCGCGAGCAGCGCGCGCCGGGGCCCGCGCGGGGATCGGGGCCCGCGCGGGGATCCGGATCTGGGTCCGAGTCCGGGTCCGGCCCCGGGCCCCCGGCCGCGCGCAGCAGCTCCAGCACCTGGCTGAGCGCCACGTTGCGGCGCGGCTCGGCGCCGGCCGGGCAGGGCTCCCGGCACTCGGGGCAGGACTGCTCGCAGCGGCGCCACGAGTCCCGGATGCAGTCCCCGCAGAAGTTGTGGCCGCAGGGCAGCGTCACCGGGTCCCGGTAGAGCCCCAGGCAGATGGAGCAGTTGAGCTTCTCCCTCAGCTGCTCGGCGACCGAGGCGTCCATGGCTGGCCGGGAAGGGAGGCCGCGGGCCCGCCTCCTGAGGGGAGGGGCGGGACCTTGACCGGGAAGTCGCTGGTGCGGAACGTGGCTGGGGGCGCAGCCGGGTGGTGACTCGGCCCCCTGCCACCCCGGCCGGGGCCCTAGGGCGTGGCGTTCTCACGCGCACTGTGGCACTGCACTGTGGTACCCCGTACCGGCTTCGAGGGCAGTTGGGGATGGAGCATCTTAAGAAACAGGGTAGAGGGCTGGGAAGGTGGTTCAGTGGTAGAGTGCTTGCCTAGCATGCATGAAGCCCTGGGTTCCACTCCTCAGTACCACACACACAGAAAAAGCTGGAAGTGGTGCTGTGCCTCAAGTGGTAGAGTGCTGGCCTTGAGCAAAAGCTCAGGGACAGTGCCCAGGCCCTTAGTCCAAGCTCCAGGACTGGGGGGGAGGGGGAGGAGTGGAGAACAACATTGGTGGCTCACGCCTGTCATCCTAGCTACTCAGGAGGCTGAGATCTGAGGATCGCAGTTCAAAGCCATCCTGGGCAGGAAAGTCCATGAGACTCTTACCTCCAATAAATCACCAGAAAATCAAAAGTGGCTCAAGTAGTAGAGCACTTGACCTGAGCTGCTCAGGGACAATGCTCAGGCCCAGAGTTCAAGACCCATGGAAAAAAAAAAAAATCCCATTTTTTGCTAATTAGATAAGAGCCTCTCAATTTTGTCTGTGTGGGCTGACTCTGAACTGTGATCTTCAGGTCTCCACTTCCTGAATAGCTAGGATTACAGTCACGACCTACAGTGCACAGCAAGGCCTGGTTTGGAAATCTCACTGCAAAAAGGTATCACAGCATGTCTTCTGCAGTGACACATGCAGTCCTGAAAGTGAACGTCTCCCCTGGGCCCATTTTGTAGCCTTTTCGGAGAGGGGTGGAGGGGTGGGTGGGCTCTAGCAGGACTCTCAGACCAGCAGCAGCAGATAGAAATCTCTTTATTCCCTCCACTTATGTCCTCACTGCCATCCACAGAGGGCCTGCCTCAGGACAGACCTCCAAGCTGGCCCCAGGGCCCTTCCCAGCAGGCCCAGGAGAGCGGACGCACCCCACTGGGTACAGTCAGTAGATGCCATAGGTGGGCTCATGGCTGTCCCTGTACCGGTCCAGGTAGCGCAAGGGCTGCCGGTGGGGGAAGCGCTTCTGCTTGGGGTGGTAAGGGGGTGGCCGCACAAACTCAAACACGGGCTCCCGCATGTCTGTGAAAGAGCAAACGGCCTTAGGTGCACTTCTGCCAGCCTGAGCCCCGCCCTGCCTGTGAGGATGAGGCCTGGCCAGGCCTGCCCACCGGAGGGGCAGGGTGACCCTTTCTGTGTGCTCAGGCCCATGCCGCCCCAGTCTCATGTTGCCCTTACCCAGAAGTTGGTGGAAGGTGCTGGTGACTGAGTCATCCCAGCGGCATTGGAAGAAGGCCAGGCCTGCTGGGGTCATGGCTTCCTGGTGTTTCTTGTAGAAATGAAAAGTGTGGAAGGTCCGCTGGGTCAGCTGATAGCTAGGAAAAGCCAGGAAAAGCAATGTGTGTGTGTGTGTGAGGTGGGGGGATCACCCACCCTTTCCACCCCACAAGCAATCCTGGGAAGCCCGAGGCGGGCCTGGTGTCCAGCTCTGTTGCAGGCCTCAGGACCTGGGTGGAAAGGGGAGCTGGCCTGAGAGGCCTGGGGTGTGTGTGGGGGGGTGCGGACTACCATGGCGAGGGGCGGGTGTCCTCCGAGAAGTCAACTGGCTTGTCTTGCTTGAAGAGCAGGAAGGCGAGGCGGTGGAAGCCGGAGCCTCGGGCGGGGAAGGGGGGTAGGTAGGGACACGTCTCCTGTCCCTCGGCCACTCTGTTGCCTGGGATGTTGGTTCTGTTAAGAAGGAAGTATCTGTTCACTGCTGAATCGGTAAGAAGGCAGGGACCCCACCCCCTGCCCAACTGTGTGCATCTTAGACTCAAAGTCCGCAAGGGCATAGACCCCGGGCAACCTCTAGCATGATGCTTGCACATCATGCAGACTTTGGAGAGAGAGGCTCAGAGACAGGATGATGGTGAGGACAAGTCTGAGCACCCCATTTGACAAGGCCTAACTGGAAAGCCACCACCCCTCCCCTCTGCTGCTTCTTCCCATTTCTAGGTCTGTGGGGTCTTGTTAGGGTGAGTTTGCCTAGCCTGGCACTGGGGGTCATTGTACCTGCCTAGATAGGTAGATAACTCCAGCTGCCTCGGTTACCCATGAGTGTCAAGGGTCCCTGCCTGACCTCTGCCCCTGGCCTGGCGCAGCCCGCTGGATGAGCTGGGAAGGAACGCCAGAGTTCCCCAAGCACTCAGAGATGTCCTGGCTGCCGGAGGCCTTTCCCAGTCTTCGGCCTCTTTGTCAAGCGGTCCGGGAAGTAATGTGCCGGCATCACCCCAACCTCCTAGGCAAGGACCCAGGTCAGAGGGATGAAGAGGCTCATGCCGGCTGACCGAGGCCCACTGCCACCACCAGGAGGCAGAGGTGAGGGGTCATATGCTGGGACTGGAGGTTAATCTGGGGCACAGTCAAGACTGAAACCCAGGGGCAGCCTTTTTTTGAACCTTCTAGGGCCTCTGCATCCCGCCGCATGCCAGATACTCACACTAGCCAATGGACGTACTCAGCATCTGGCTCCAGCAGGTGTCCATCTGCAGGGAAACAATCCATAGTGCTGGCCCCACCGTTCCCTGCTGGGGGGGGGGGGGGCGGGAGGAAGAGGAGGAAGGAGGTAGGGCTGGAAACCCACCTAAGTTAGTGAGTAACAACGTCCACATGGAACCCTGGTCGGCCTCATAGGTTACCTCCGGTGCCTGAGCTGCCTGTGGAAAGTAGAAGTTCCTTCTGGGGGGCTTGTAGCTGAAAGGGCCCTAGAGAAGGGAGCACCCACTCTGATCCAAAACAGAGGCAGAGACCCCGTCCAAGATTAGAACTACAATAGGGGTAACAGGGGCCAGAAGGCTGTAAAAAGCCAGCAGTGCACCGGGCGCTAGTGGCTTATTCCTGTAATCCTAGGTACTCAGGAAGCTGAGATCTGAGGATGGAGGTTCAAAACCAGCCTAGGCAGGAAAGTATGTGAGACTTTTAACTCCAATTAACCACCAGAAAACCGGAAGTGGCACTGTGGCTCAAAATGGTAAAACACTAGCCTTAGCAAAAAGAGCTCAGGGACAGCACCCAGGCAGAGATCAAGCCCCATGACTGACCAAAAAAAGCCAGCAGCTCATCTAGTAACATGCACAGAGAGAGCCACTTTTTACTTTCTTTGCAAATGACATGTATTGTTTCCCAGGAGCTCAGAATCCCCAACCTCAGGAGCTGTTCACGACGCGTCTGTGTGCGCATGGCACGGAGATGGGCCCAGCCAGAGGTACCTCGGTTGGGGTCACTTCATTGCCGAAGTACACGGGTACCAGGTCTTCCTCGCCCACGGCGTACGCCACGCGCAGGGGGACCCAGGGCACGAAAGTGGCATCATGGAATAGGTCTCGGTACAGGCCATAATACTCAGCAAGGCGCTGCTTGTGGTGGGGGCCACACGTCCTCTCCCACTCAGCCCGCACAGACTCCAGTGGGACGCTGGCTGGGAAGGAAGGAGGCTGTTGGGCTGAGGCCTGGAGCAGGGACGCACGGAGGGCCCCTCCCCGCCAGGCTTACCGGTTCCAAGGCGAGCAGCCCGCTCCTCTTCCACCTTGGCCCGAAGCTCGCGCCGGATCCGTTTCCGTTCCCGTAGCTGTTGGGTCTTGCAGACCTTGGGTGGGGGCAGCCCAATGTCAATTTTATCTTTGGGATCTGCAGAGGGAAGAAGCAGCTTCAACCTCTTGGTTAAGACCTTGTCCCTTCACTGCTGCTCTAGGCTCTGAATCACAAAACTAAAACACACTATGTAGTCTGCTTCCCTTCCTTGAACAGGGCCCAGATATTAAGCAAATCAGACGTGAGTCCCGTGTGAGCTCCCCCTCCACCGCATTCCTGTCTTCTCTAGGTCATAGAACTGGAGGCAATGCCATCCTAATTGTGGTTGGGATCATATCCAAAGTGATTTCACAGTCTGCATGGACATACTTGGGGCTTGGGTGGAATTATGAGTTAAAGCCCTAGCTTTGCTGGGCGCTGATGGCTCACCTGTAATCCTAGCTACACAGGAGGCTGAGATCTGAGGATCATGGTTCAAAGCCAGTCCAGCCAGGAAAAGTCTGTGAGACTCTTATCTCCAATGAACCACTCAGAAAAATGGAAGTGGTGCTGTGGCTCAAGTGGTAGAGCACTAGCCTTGAGCTGAAGAGCTGAGGGACAGCGCCCAGGCCCAGAGTTCAAGCCCCATGACTAACCCCCCAAGAAAAAAAAAAAGCCCTAGCTTCAATGATGGGACTTAAATGCCTCTCAAACTCTCAAATGGGCAGAAAAGCCATATCACCACCAAAATTGGCTTAAATTCAGCATTTGATCCTGCAATTTAGAGTTGGACTGGAGAGCTGCAGTTCTGCTGTCCACCTTTTGGGTAACTGATTTCATTGCTGGTCTGGAAGCACTTTTGAGTGGCAGGCCTGAGAACTTCTAACACTTCTGACCACTTATATTGCATATAATGTGTGTTGACCTCCATCACCATCAGAGATGGTGTTCGTCCAGGAATTTCAATGGGTTGTTATTCCTCACAGTAATCAGTGACAATGGTTTTCATTCTATAGTACCCTCAAGCTGAGCTAAGGCTTACAGCAGACTATTTAAGACTATTTAGCTTGTGTCCTAACATTGTCAAAACTGCTTGTTAGCTGGGCCCTGGTGGCTCATACCTGTAATCCTAGCTACTCAGGAGGCTAAGATCTGAGGATCTTGGTTCAAAGGCAGCCTGGATAGGAAAGTCTTGGAAACTCATATCTTCAATTAACCACCAGAAAACTGGAAGTGGTGCTGTGGATCAAGGTGGGAGAATGCTAGCCTTGAGCAAAACAGCTCAAGGAAGCCAGGTGTTGGTGGCTCACGCCTGTAATCCTAGCTACTCTGGAGGCTGAGATCTGAGGATTGTGGTTCAAAGCCAGCCCAGGCAGAAAAGTCCATGACACTCTTATCTCCAACAAAACACCAGAAAACCAGAAGTGGCACTGTGGTTCAAGTGCCAGAGCAGTAGCCAGGCTAAGAGTTCAAGCCAAAAAAAAAAAAATCTCAGGGACAGAGCTGAGGCTCTGAGTTCAAGTCCTATGACTGACCAAAACAAAAACAAGCAAACAAAAAAAACCCTGCTTCTGTGAGCCAGGGACATATGAATTTGATTAGAAGCAAAAGTCAGAATCCAAAAGCCGGGCACCAGTGGCTCACCTGTAATCCTACTCAGGAGGCTGAGATCTGAGGATCTCGGTTCAAGGTCCAAAGCCAGACTGGGCAGGAAAGTCCGTGAGACTCTTATCTCCAATAAACCACTCAGAAAAATGGAAGTGGCACTGTGGCTCAAGCGGTAGAGCACTGGCCTTGAGCTGAAGAGCGAAGGGACAGCTCCCAGGCCGAGTTCAAGCCTCACGACCGACTAAAAAAAAAAAAAAATCAGAATCCACAAACCCACCTCTATGCTTGCTTTCAGAAAGGATCTACACACTAAATTCCTTAAAGGCTAGGTCTCTGAGTTACCTTGCCCAAAATTGTGCCAGGCAGTATAGGTGCAAGGATCCAAAGATGGGTAAGACAGACAACAGACAGGATCTGCCTGAAGGTGGGCACAGGGTATCCAGGGTATAGTATTTTGGGGGCAGAGAGGAAAGTCAATAAAGGATGTTAGGGAGTCGAAGCTGTAACTATTTTTTTCCATTGGCTGGTACTAAAGTTTAAACTGGGGGCTGGTAAGGTGGCTCAGTGGTAGAGTGCTTGCCTTGCATGCCTGAGGCCCTGGGTTTGATTCCTCAGCACCACATAAGCAAAAAGAAAAAAGCCGGAAGTGGCACTGTGGCTCAAGTGGTAGAGCACTGGCCTTGAGCTGAAGAGCTGAGGGACAGCGCCCAGGCCCAGAGTTCAGGCCCCATGACCGGACCCAAACAAACAAACAAACAAACTAAAGTTTAAACTGAAGACCTGGCTCTTATTCTCTGCTGGCTCCTTTGCTTGGCTAGCACTCTACTATTTGAGTCACAGCTCTACCCCTGCTTTTTGCTGGTTAACTGGAGATGGGAGTCTCACGGACTTTTCTGCCCAGGCTGCTTTCCTTCCTTCTATCCCCAACATAACCTTCTGAGTACTAGGATTACAGTCCGGAGACACTGGCACCTGGCAAAACATGAAATCATCATTATTTGCTGTTCTTTTTTGTTGTTGTTGTTGGTCGTGGGGCCTGAACTCTGGGCCGGGGCGACGTCCTTCAGCTCAAGGCCAGCACTCCACCACTTGAGCCACAGCGCCACTTCCAGCTTTTTCTGCTTATGTGGTGCCGAGGAATGGAACCCAGGGCCTCAAGCATGCAAGGCAAGCGCTCTAGCACTGAGCACCTTCCCAGCCCCTATTTTCTGATCTTATATTGGTGGTACTGGGGTTTGAACGCTGGGTGGTCTCAAGCGCCCTCGGCTGGCTTGCCAGGCTGGCGCTCTACCACTCGCACCACGTCTCCAGGCCCTTTAAACTCTTGCAGGTCGGGGGAGCTCAGGATGGGGGATTCTGCTGGTTCATCGCCGAGGGCGCACGCCGGGGTGCGGGCGGCGCTCCCCGCCGGCCCCCGCGCTCCGGGGCCGGGCGGCTGTCCCGCGCCCCCCGCGCCCCGCGCCCCCCGCGCCCCGCGCCCCCCGCGCCCCGCGCCCGCGGCCCCCACGCACTCGTCTCCGCCCCGAAATGCTCCCGGTAGGTGCGCCACCAGTGCGGGGCTCGCGCCTCCTGCTCCGCCCGGCGCCGGTAGCGGTCGAAGCTGCGGTACTTCTGCAGCCGGTCCAGGTTGCTCACGTCGATGTCCGCGTTGGGCATGGGCCCCAGCGGGGCGCTCCGGCGGCGCAGGGCGCCTGCGGGCAGACAGCGGGCCGTCACGCCGGCCCGGGCCTCGGGAGCCAGGGCCTGCCGCCGGCCCGGGGGGAACCAAGCACTACTCCACCCCAGACCCCTCACCCGACGTGCTGAAGCCCCGCCACGCCCGACTCCCGAACAGCGCGGCACGACACAAGGGCGCCGCCATCTTGTCCCCGGGTCGCCCAAGACGCCGCCAGGCCCCAGGCCGAGAGGTGGCCGGAGCAGTGCCTGAACGCCGCGCGCGGAGCCAGGCCCCGCCCCGGGAAGCCAGCCCCGCCCGCAACAGCGCCAGGCGTTGGCCCGAAGAGCCAGGCCCCGCCCCCATGGACCCAGGCCCCGCCCTTCGAAGGCTCCTCCCCGAGAACCGAGGGCCGTCCTCCTAGACCCGAGGAGGGGGCGGGCTGCGGGCGCGCGGGCGGCGCAGCGCCAGCAGGGGGCGGCATCCGCCGGCGCGCCCCCAGCCGTGACGCGTCTGGCTCGGTCCCGGGGACTTCACCCCATCCCTCCTCGCGGAACCTGAGCTCCCCAGCAGCGCAGTTCACCCGGATCTGGAATCTGACCCCAGCGGCCTGAATTTCCAGGTGGTGATCTGGCATCACCTTTGTAGTTGCTTCATTTGGGAAGCAAAAGCAGGTAATAGTCCCGCCTGGTAGGCCTGTGAGGAGGAGGATCTGTTAAGGCACACGTGGGATCGTGTCTGCCAGGGCTCCTCCCAGCAAACCTTCACTCCCCGCCACCTTGCTCCCCCCAGGCTACCACACACGGTTACGATTGGCGTATTATTATTATTGTTATTATCATTGCCCACCCTGGGGCTTGAATTCTGGGCTTGGGCACTGTCCCTGGGCTCCTTTTTGCTCAAGGCTAGCACTCATCACTTGAACCACAGCATCACTTCCAGTTTTCTGGTCGTTTATTGGAGATCAGAGTCTCATGGACTTTCCTGCCTGGCTGGCTTTGAACCATGATTCTCAGATCTCAGCCTCCTGAGTAGCTAGGATGACAGGCATGAGCCACCAGTGCCCGGCCTGAACCAGTTTTGAGGGAAAAGAATGAGCAGCGATAGACCCACACCATTTGTTTCTTTATGTAACCCTTGACAGCAATGTCTGAGACTTGGGAAAAAGACACAGGGATAATTAGGCTACCTGCCACACCTTTGTGCCTGTGACAGAATAGATTTTTTTTTGGGGGGGGGGGTGCTGCTGGGGTTTGAACTCAGGGCTTCATGCTTGTTTTTTTTTTGGTCCGGTCGTGGGGCCTGAACTCTGGGCCTGGGCGCTGTCCCTCAGCTCTTCAGCTCAAGGCTAGCACTCTACCACTTGAGCCACAGTGCCACTTCCGGCTTTTTTCTTTTTGCTTATGTGGTGCTGAGGAATTGAACCCAGGGCCTCAGGCATGCAAGGCAAGCGCTCTACCACTGAACCACCTTCCCAGCCCCGGCTTCATGCTTGTTAGGGAGGTGTTCTACCACTTGCATCACAGCCAAGCCTAATAAGCTTGAATTTTTTTTTTCAGTGCTGGACTTGAACCCAGGGCTTCATGTATGAAGATAAGTACAAATCTTTGCAGGAGCCTCCAATGGGATCAGCTGAAGAAGCGGCTCTAAAATCTGTAGCTTCCTAAGGGATGGCAGGAAGGGGACATGGCTGAATACCTGGGGCTTTGGTTTGCCAGGGCATCGTTCGAATCCAGAGCCTGTTATTTGGTGTCATGTTGGGGAAGGTATGGAATGTCCCTGAGCTTCCCTTTCTATATCTTAGAACAGGGATGGTAACAGTACTTTCTGACTTGGGCCCTAGTCTTGCTATGAGGTCCTGGAGCCAAAGGAACTGGGCAGGGCCACTTTGATTGGTTGGCTTTTTTTTTTTTTTTAAAGGAATGTCTGCCTGCTCTGTGGGACTTGTTTTTCAGCAAGTAGCAAGGATACAGAGCAAACATTTTCTAAGAGATAAGGACAGCCGGGCACCAGTGGCTCATGCCTGTAATCTTAGTGACTCAGGAGGCTGAGATCTAAGGATTGCAGTTCAAAGCCAGCCCAAGCAAGGAAAGTCCGTGAGACTCTTATCTCCAGTGAACCAACCAGAAAACCAGAAGTGGTGCTGTGGCTCAAGTGGTAAAGTGCTAGCCTTGAGCTGAAGAGCTGAGGGACAACGCTCAGGCCCAGAGTTCAAGACGCATGACCAACAAAAAAGAAATAAGGGCAAACTCTAATGGACCTCGGCCGATTCTAAGAATTCGTTATTAGGCACATGTATAGCAGCTTATGGGCTCAGCGGCAGAGCCCTGGCCAAGCAAGTGCAAGACCCAGCATTCCCACCCTAGCATCTAGCACACGAGCAAAACAAAACAAAATAAAGAACTTCTCAGTTTAATGGGTTCAAGATCATGGGTGAATCTTGTTGGTAAACAAAGTGCCTCTGGGAGCTGGTCAGGGAGCAGAGAGATGAAGGCATCAATAATGCTTCTACCCAGCACGGCGCCTTCGCGCTCTTCCTCTGACGTCGGCTCATGTGGCTGGCCTTGCCTCCTTGGGTAGATAGCCAGGAACCGCTCCTGGACAGAAGCTGCATTGGGAGTAAACGCTGCCACCCCCAGCAGGCCTTGGCACACGGCCTGTGAGTGCAGGATGGCAGAGGCCTCCAGGGAGTTCCGGTAGCCTGGGCACAGCCACACCTCGTGGGAACCGTATTCTACTTCCCTTCCCTCTGGGGGCACAGGCTGGTGCTGCCTTCCTCCCTGCTTCCCCATCCTTCCCACCCACTTGGGCAGTGCTGGGAATTTGTGCAAGCAGGCCCGAGTGGCAGAGGTGGGAGGCGGGTGGTATCCCAGCAAACTGTAGGGAAGGGTGCAGCTTCCCTCTGCCTGCTAGGCCTTCATCACTGAGCCTGGTAGTGGAGGGTCCTTGTCTCTGTCCCCGTTCGGGAGGGGCCCTGTCAGGCGGGGAAGGGAGAAGGGAGAAGAGACCCAAGCATGAAGGTCCCTCTGGAGGAAGGGCAGCGCAAGATCTCAGAAGCTGGGGAGCTCAAGGACAGAGCTGGAGGTGAGCAGGCCCTGGCCTCAGCACTTCCCAGGGGAAGGCACTCAGGCCTTGGCTCAGCTTTCAGGCTGCGGTGCCTGGAAAGAACATTCGAGAAGCCTGGCCATGAGAAGTGCTGTAATCAGGCCCTGAGCAGTACATGTTCCCGAGAGTGCTCTGTGGAGCTGGAGGCTGGCAGAGGAGGCTCAGGCCACGCAGCAGAGGCAGTGTCGTCTCAGGTGGAGTGTGGCGCCAGGTTGTAGGAGGCTTTCTTCAGTGTCTCCAGGAAGAACTTCTCATCCTCCAGGAACTCTCGGTCCTGAGAGGCAGGTTCAGGGGGAGTGTTCACATTGTGGGCACTGAGGGGAAAGCTGGGTACTTCCTGTCTATGCCAGCCCTCACTCAGATGACCCCTTCCACTTTCTCCCTGGCTCTGGGAGGCCTCAAGAGTGGAGGGTGTGAAGGAGCCCAGCAGAGTGAGGCGGGCTACATACAGTCTGTGGAACTCTGCAGAACATGATCTGGTCTTTCTTTGTGTGTGTGTATGTGTGCCAGTCCTGGGGCTTGAACGCAGGGCCTGGGCACTGTCTGAGAGCCTTTTGCTCAAGACCTACCACTTGAGCCACAGCCACTTCTGGATTTTTTTCTGTGACTAATTGGTGATAAAAGTCTCACAGGCCCCGGCACTGGTAGCTCACACTTGCAATCCTAGCTACTCAGGAGGCTGAGATCTGAGGATCATGGTTCAAAGCCAGCCCAGGCAGGAAAGTCCATGAGACTCTGATCTCCAGTTAAGTACCAGAAAACTGGAAGTGGCACTGTGGTTCAAGTGGCAGAGTGCTTGCCTTGAAGAGCTGCGCCCAGGCCAAGAGTTCAAGCCCCACTACCAAAAAACAAAACAAAACAAAACAAAAAAAACCGCACAAGATTTTCCTGTCTGGGTTGGATTCAAACCAAGATTCCCAGATCTCAGCCTTCCCAAGTCACTAGGATTACAGGCATGAGCCACCAGCGCCTAGTCTCAATTTCCTCATGATGTAGGCAGGCTCTGATGCCAGCATGCAGGACACACTTCTTTTTTTGGTCATTCATAGGGCTTGAACTCTGGGCCTGGTGCTGTCCTTGAGCTCTTCAGCTCAAGGCAAGTGCTCTACCACTTGAGCCACAGCAACACTTCTGGTTTTCCAGTGGTTCATTGGAGGTAAGAGTCTCATGGACTTTCCTGCCCAGGCTGGCTTTGAACTGTGATCCTCAGATCTCAGCCTCCTGAGTAGCTGGGATCACAGGCATGAGCCACTGGGCCCGGCTAGGATACACTTCTTGAAAACTGCTGCCATTGCTGCTTCCACAGGCTAGCTGAGGTTTCGCTGAGGTGATAACCACCACTGGCTGCTATAGAATCTGCCCTTGAAACTAGCAGAAGTCTCTGAAATTGCACACTCAGCAGTGTGTACCACTCTCCCCCTCTAGGATTCCTCACCACTGCCTCTGCCCCACTCACCTGCTCAGCCGTGTACTTCAGCAGCAGTAGCCTAGTGATGAGGTGAATGGAGCCTGGGCCTGCTGATGGTTTGCTGTACTGGGAGATGGCAGGAGCAGAGTTCACGGAGGCTGAGGAGGAAGTCAGGGCCAAGGCATTGGCAAGTATCCCAGCTTGCTCCCAAGCCCTACTCCCGTACAACCCATCATGCTCTGGGGCTATGTAACCGCAAATGCTCAAAGGCCTCTGAAGAACACTCATGAGAGTGGGAACGTGGCTCGGTGGCAGAGCGCTTGTCTGCTTGTCTAGCACACATGAACCCCTGGCTTCCATTCCTCAGTACCATATAAAAAGAAAAGGCTCGCCGGGCGCTGGTGGCTCACGCCTGTAATCCTAGCTACTCAGGAGGCTGAGATCTGAGGATCTCGGTTCAAAGCCAGCCCGGGCAGGAGAGACCGTGATACTCCTATCTCCAATAAACCACCAGAAAACCGGAAGTGGAGCTGTAGCTCAAGTGGTAGAGCGCTCGCCTTCAGCTGAAGAGCTGAGGGACAGCGCCCAGGCCCAGAGTTCAAGCCCCACGGCCGACCAAAAAAAAAAAAAAAGAAAGAAAAGGCTCGAAGTGGCACTGTGGCTCAAGTGGTAGAGTGCTAGCCTTGAGCAAAAGCAGCTCAGGGACAGTGTTCAGGCCCTGAGTTCAAGCCCCAGGATTGGCAAACAAAAAAGAACT